ACCTTCATAAAATGGTTTTAAAAAATCACAAATGCTCTTAGCACTTTTCTATTCTTCTTCAGAAGGCATAATTTGCTGTGAGTTTTTGAATGTGGATGCATATATTTAACAATAAATTTCCCAGCATTAAATAATTCTTGTCGTTTATCTTCAGCTTCTTTTATAAAACTTTCATTTTCATTCCAATATCTAGAATTTACTTCATAATATATTTCTTCAATAGTTGGTCTTTTTAAAGGATCAGAATCCCAACATTTCTGCATCAAATTAGCCCAACATTGTGGTGTATCTTCTGAGATATTTGGACGAAATATTTTAACACATGTCAAGCGCAAGATGTGAATCATATGCACGATCATAGAAAGGACGGCATCCACTTGTAAGTTCCCACATAATCATCCCTAAACTGTAAATATCTGAACTAAATGAATATTGATTTTTGTTAAGCACTTCAGGTGCAATATATGGCATAATTCCATATATTTTAGCTTCTGCACTTTCCAAATCGTCTTTTGCTGGTCGACTAAATCCTAAATCTGCAATTAAAGAATTAGGGCTAGAATTATCATGTGAATCTGTTAAATGACCTATTAATATATTTCCATCGTGTATATAGCGGTGCATAATGTTATTTCTATGAATCCATTTAATGCCTGTAACAATATCCCTAAGAAAGGCTCGTTTCATTTTCCAAGTAACATCCTTAAAATTATTAGACAAATAATCATTTAGATTTCCATTAGACATATAAGACATAACAAAAATATAATCATTTGTTTTTGGAAATTGTGATACTCCATAACATTGAATAATGTTGCGAATGACGGAATTAGGCTGGCTTTTAACAATATTTTGTAACTGCGGCAAAAAATAGCAAAAATTTTAGAGTAATCTATCAATAGTTAAGATAAAGTTTATTTATTATTACATTATTATTACCTCTTTTAAGAATGACGAACTAATATCTTGGGAATCCTTAAGAACTTTTAATACAACCGTTTGATTTTCATTCCGATTGAACCTTTTTTCAATCCGGTTCCAACTTTTTATTGTTCCTTTATTCCATGTGGCGGCATGGATTTCACTAAAACCCCCCTCTCCAATTTGTTTTACATCTGTAAAGTCCTCAAATGGAATCCACTCTAATCTAAATTTTGGTTGATTATTATGCGTTGCCTTAATTAAATTGTCAATATCTTGATTTCCGCTACTAAAATTCTGTAAGTTCTGTAATTGTGTATAATAACAACCGGTACATAACTTATTCTCATAAACAAGTGCTTTCTTTCTATTACAGCCGATACATTTAGGTTGACAATTATTACATAGCATATTACGGTTAAGTATTCGATTTTGATTGCTATTTTTTTATCCGGCATTTTAAACTTTATTTTATGTGGTCTAACTTTTGTATCTTAGAAAACGAAGTAGTCACCCAATATGTAGTTCACATATAAAGCTCTATATTTACGGAAGAATAAATTAAATAATAGAGTATGAGTCATGAAATGAGTTAAAAAGCAAGCTACATTTTTGGTCACGTTACCGAAAATTTTTGGTGGTGCTCTTGGGGTAGTTCACCTCAAGTCTGATGTGTGAATATTACGTAATAATAACTTAACAAGAATTATTATTAACATCGGTGATAAATTATTAACGTTGGCAGCAAGTAATTAAAAAACTAATAAATCATATTGTTAGAAATAAAATATCTCATAGGTTTATTAGTATTTTTAAATAATTAATCGATATAAGACCGTATCAAATGTTTATTAATATTTATTAATAAAAATTCGTCTTATTAATTGCGTAAATACGTAGTTATTGTATATCCATAATTGCATATTTTTTTCATTTATTGTTAATAATTACTGTTAATAAAAAATTATTATTATTTCATCGTTAGATCAATTATGGTATTAATTTTCGTCGGACTTTTGATCTATTTTGTATTGCCGACATAACTGCGCAAGCGATTTTGGGGTCTTACGGTATAAGGGATAAGTTTGATAAGTATGATTTTTAAATATACGTATAAGAATTTAAAATTGCCCTACGCTACTCTTTTTATGTTTCATACTATACTAC